TCTTGGCCAAATTCAAATTTAGCCACGTGCTTCTTCACAAGCCCAGGTGAGAGATCACCTTCTTGTTGTCTCTGTCTTGGAGCCATCAAATCAAACACAAGTGTCCCACCAGGTGTGCCAAATTTGTTCTCCGGTGAGAAAAACTTGCGTTGAAACGAATTGAATGCACCTTGACTTCTTTGGACAACGATCACTAAGACACGGTTCACACCTCTTCAAACACAGTTCGAACGAGGGTGTTCGATGTTTACACGACTCACGAGACAGAATCTAAATTAAATTACCCTACTCCTATGGAGGTTCAGTGAGAGCTCCAGATCTACGACTACGGCTAAAATTGCAGAGGAAAGGATAAAGAGATAAAATTAGACATTGTGTTGTCTGGTGTGAATTTGGCGACCTTCTCCTCTGTCGACTCCTCCTCCTATTTATAGCCCTTGAGATGATAACCGTCGTAGAAACTGTCTTAGAATAACTTCCAAAAGGAACTGCTCTCCTTCTTTCTCGGACGTGGCTGACGTGTCATTGCACGTGGGATACTCGGCAGTTTCTCCGTTAACCGCCTGCTCTTCATCCTGAAACTGTCGTCTTGTTACTTGCCTCTCCCACATGACTTGCCTTCTTACTTCCAACTTGTTAGCTCGGATCTTGGGCTTGGTCTCACGATGTGGCCTAGATCTCGCGACCGCGTAGAGCTCTAAGTTTGACGCCAACGTGGTCTAGATCTCATGACCGCGTAGAGCTCTAAATTTGACGCCAACGTGGTCTAGATCTCATGACCACGTAGAGCTCTAAGTTTGAAGCCAACGTGGTCTAGATCTCATAACCACGTCGGGCTCAAAATTTGATGCCGACATGGTCTAGATCTCATGACCACGCCGGGCTCTAAATTTGATGGTCTAGATCTCGCGACCACGTCGAGCTCTAAAGTTGATGCCGACGCAGTCTAGATTTCACGACCACGTCGGGCTCTAAGTTTGAAGCCAAAGTGGTCTAGATCTCATGACCACGTAGAGCTCTAGATTTGATGCCGACATGGTCTAGATCTCACGACCACGTCGGGCTCTAGATTTGATGCCAACGTGGTCTAGATCTCACGACCACGTCGGGCTACCCAACTCGCGATGAGACTAGCTCCTTCTTGGAGACTTAGTGATTTGGGCTTAAAAACTAGTATCATGAGGCCCAGTTCAAATAACACTAATTGTTATTAATGATCTGGCCTTATAAAGGCAGTTAGTGCATTGTAAGTAATCAATGTGGTACACTAGTATTTTTTTAGGTGTAAACAAATGCCCCCCAACTACTTAGTGCATAAGAATTATGGACTAAGTAGTTGAACACCACCAAGCTAGCCAAGTAACGTGTTGGCTTATCAACACACCAATTTTACTTCGCCAAAATTTTGACTTTCAATAATTAGGCCAACACGTCCAGATGGAACACTGGTCATAACTTGTCCCATGCCTTAGGCAAATTTTGGTTTTTCGCGTCAAGCCAACATGGCGAGATGGAACTTGACGTAAAAACTTGTTCCATGCCTTAGCCAAATTTTGGCTTTTCCCGTCAAGCCAACATGGCGAGATGGAAATTGACGCCCAAACTTGTTCCATGCCTTAGCCAAATTTTGGCTTTTAATGATCATGCCAACATGGCCGGATAGAACTCGACGTCAACGACTTGTCCCATGCCTTAGCCAAATTTTGGCTTTTAATGGTCAAGCCACCTAATGCATTCAACGAGACACCAACCTCACTTTATCACCTACACCCTCATTGACATTTCGTACTTTGCCACATGGTTGAGAGAATAACTTAGAATTTTTCGCAGCTAGTTTGGCATAGATTGGCTCATCTCACCTCGTCACAATCGCAGATGGAGACATGTTGAGTATAAATGCATCCAATTACCTTTGATTTAGTTGCACTCTCATTCGGCTGGCTTGATTTCTTATTTTTAAATAAAGATTCGGCTGATAAATATACGTAAAGGGGTGAGTTTCGGCTAAATATACGTAAAGGCAGAGAATAAATATATTGTTTTTTGATTGAATATAATTAGTTTGCATGTGATTGTGATGATTGAGAAGAGCTTTTTCTTTGTCTTTTCTTAAAACAGGCAATAAGATGTGGGGAACTGTGGATTAATTTGAGCAAAACGTGCAAGACAATTTAAGAGTGTGCATGGAATGGAAGCCTTGAAATGTGGCTTTCAATGAATGAATGGATATATGTTGCGGATACGTCACCCAAATGTTAAATTTTCAGCATAAGGAAACTTCTCCACCCTTGGGACATGTTTGCTGTCACGAATAGGCGGCAAATCCGGATTCGGGTTTAGCCGAAACTCACCCCTTTACGTATATTTATCAGCCTTCCCTTAACGGGTACAAATTGATATGCGGTAAACTATTTTGGTTAGAACCGAAAATCTTATAAGACCCAAGAACATGTCTACGGCTTCGCCAACGGTATGGTTATTTTGCATGATTTTTCCATACCAAAATTTAACCGTTAAGAGGATTATCGATTTTCAGTAACAAAAAATTACAAAGCCCTATTAACGGTTTGATTTTTATTTTTAGGGAACTAAAAATTTAGTGTTTTCGATTTTTCATTTTAACGGTTGTTGGTTTTCTTGTTCAAGACATTATAATTAAGAGAGATGTTTTTTTTTTTGCCCGAGGAATATCAAGAAAATAGTTAGAAAGAAACACTACCCACATTCCCTTCCCAGTACCCCACTAACTAGCCAATCTACAAAATCAAAAGAAGCTAGTTCTAGCCGGGACAGTAGCAGGACTTTATGTGCCACTCTATGAGCAGCCCAGTTGATAGTCCGCGGAACCGCCCTAAAATCTATACAATGAGAAAAGGAATAAAAAAGACAACAACAATCTCGAAGAATGGGGCCTCCAATAGAATCCTCCACCATTTCAAGTTTGAGTTCACGGATGACCACTTATGCATCGTGTTTGATGATGACACGAGACAATCCTCTGGATGCTGGAAGAGAAATTATTGAGTCCCTGGCTGCAAGAAGTTCGGCAAGTATGGATCCGCGATACCATGATGTTGCACACCCACTGCGAGAACACACATGCCCATCCGAGCCGCGAACAACAAGGCCAAATGAGGAGCCAGTGACTTGGACAGCAGTGTCAAAGTTGATCTTCACATAGCTTTGGGGCGGGCATTCCCAGAGTAGCATAATAGAGGAAGGAGCATGAGCAAGGCTAGGAGGGCCATGCAGAATAGAGAGCACTACATGGGAGTATTGGCGGGCAAGCGAACGGACATGGGGCTGGGTATTTTCAAATACCACTTTATTTCTTGATTTCCATATTCTCCACAATAGGCATACTAACTGGAGAATATGGGTTTGAGACGGTTGGGTAAGCATAAATTGACGCCACCATAAACTAAAATTAACTCTTGGGGCTGAATCCAGTATACACTACAAGAAAACTTGGTTTTGGAGACAAATAATTAGAGACAATTATTCTATTATTCTATCACTTAATCCCACAAAATACCATAACTGGATGACAAGGGGGCAAAGAAAGATCTGGTGCTCTATACTTTCTCGAAATCTCCAACAAACAGGACATCGCCTTAGACAATTAACCCCACAGATTTGGGACAGGTTAGTTAGTAGTAATCACCGTGGTTACTAAGGGTAAATTGGGTATGAAAAATAAATTGTATTACATATTATTTTTTAATAAATTACATTTTAGGTAGTTACTAGAATCTATTAATTATAATTATATCTCTTTCTCTCGCTTCCATAATCTCCAGCCAGATCCCCTTTCCTTATTTTTCTCAATCTTTCTACAAAAGAAAAAAAACACGAAATCACTACCAATCCATTAGACAACCACTACCACTTTGAAAAATATCAATACCATTGCAAAAATAAATCTACACCATTACACGAAAACTACCAATATAAACAATCTACCAATATAAATCTATACCATTTCACAAAAAATCAATACCATTGCAGATTTAATCAATACAAATACATGCAAATTAATACCAATGCGACAAAAACAATACCAATTCGAAAAAAATATTACCACTACGAAAAAATCACTACCTATGTGGAAAAAATCAGATCTAGGATTTTTATTCATCCCACATTTTTCAGCCGCCTGTGTGAGAGAGAGATTCCGAGGGAAGTGAGTGAAACCTTCAAAGCAACCATCTAGTCCTATATTCTTTAGTCAATTCCCCCAATTTCTTTATGTTTCCTAGCCGTCATTTGCAGGAGAGATAGATGGGGATGAGAGGGGGGGGGGGTTGTGGGTGGAGTGGGTTTTGCGGGAGAGGGGGAATGGGGGTGGGGTGAGGAGGAGGGATGAGGGAGGGGAGAAAGAGGGCAGAGAGGAAGTTTGAGATGGGGACGACGGCGGCAGGAGGTGGAAGTTGGAGATGGGGACGGCGACCGGGAGTTGGGATGAGGCAGAGGGAGGAGGGAGAACTTGCGGAGGTTTGGATGGAGCGAGAGAGTATGATTAAGGTTAGGGTAGATTATATAGAATAATCAGGTGTGGTTTTATGTTTTCTTCCAAAATTGCTGTGAGACAATTTTAACTGTGAGATTAAAAAAATAGAAAAAAGTAAAAAATAGATGGTGGATACTAGTGTAGCTACGGTGGCTACTAGAATTTTAGTAACCGCCTTAACGAGTTCCCCCAAATTTTGAGAGCCACTATTGTAGGAAGCACCACTTTTAATGGTGACACCGTAGTATTGACCATTTGTCATAAGTACTTTGGGCTTACAACTCTAATTAGGCCCAATATATTTATTCGTATGTCGGGCCCATAGCATTCTTTTTGTCCAACTCTTTAGTAGACCAAAGATTCAAAGAATTAAATACATCATTGTTTTCAGCAAACAAGGAGAATTCAGGTACTTATTAGTAAATTCTTCGAGACCGCGGCACAAGCTCCCGAAACCATCTCCCACTAACTCTCTTCGGCTCTTCCGCTTTGTAAATTTACGGGTTTGCCTCTTTTCTTTCGGCAGACGACTACGATTTTGACTGCTTAGATTCTGACTAACCTATAAAAATCTCAATCTCCAAATCCCCTAGGGTTTTTTTTGCTCTTCCCGAGTTCCCACTCTCCTTCTCCACCCCCCAAAACCTTCAGTCCCAAACCACCCCACAATCATTATTACCTAAGTCTGGTCTCCCAAATTCAAGCACAAAGAGGTATGCTTTCTCCAAACACTGCGCGGATAGCGGAAATTTGACTCTAGAGATTCATTGGGTTCCGCTTGAATCCAATCTAAAACCCGGGAAACTGATCGGGCGCTGCTAAAAATTTGATCTTTTTTGGTTGGTTGATTGTTTAAGAATAACATCATGGATGATCTTGAAAAGGCCGTGCTTATCAGTTTTGATGAAACCGGCACCGTTGATTCTGCTCTGAAATCTCAAGCAGTTGCTTTCTGCCAGCAAATAAAGGAGAGCCCCACGGTGGCCAGAGTTTGTATAGAGAAGCTTGTCTTTTGCAAGCTCGTTCAGGTTCAGTTTTGGTGTTTGCAGACTGTACAAGAGGTCATTAGTGGTAGGTATAGTTTATTGAGTTTGGAAGAGAAGGATTTCTTCAGGAAGTCTGTTTTTTCGTTGTGTGGCTTTGATGGAATTGATGACGAGAATGCTGTGAGGCTTCTGGAAGGTCCTGCATTTATAAAGAACAAGCTTGCTCAGGTTTTGGTTACTCTAATCTACTTCGAGTACCCATTGCTATGGTCTTCGGTTTTTGTTGATCTGTTGCCTCAGTTAAGCAAAGGGGCTAAGGTCATCGATATGTTCTGTCGTGTTTTGAATGCCTTGGATGACGAGTTGATCAGTTTGGACTACACACGGACTGCGGATGAGACGGTGATAGCAAACAGGGTTAAGGATGCAATGAGGCAGCAGTGTATAGGGCAGATAGTGAGAGTTTGGTATGACATTGTATGCATGTACAAGAATACTGATCAAGAGCTCTGTTCCAGTGTTTTAGATACGATGAGGAGATATATCTCGTGGATCGATATTGGTCTGGTTATGAATGATGTTTTTATGCCATTACTATTCGAGTTAATCCTCGTTGATGGCAGTTCAGAACAGCTTCGCGGTGCGGCCTGTAGTTGTGTCCTTGCTGTGGTTTCTAAGCGAATGGAACCACAACCTAAGTTGAACATATTGCAAGGCATTCAGATTGGTCGGGTTTTTGGGTTGGTTACCGGTGATAGCGACTCGGAGCTGGTATCAAAAGTAGCTGCATTAATCACAGGATTTGCTGTTGAGGTGCTAGACTGCAGCAAGCGAGTAAGCACGGAGGATGCTAAAAGGGTGTCAACGGAACTTATGAACGAAGTTCTGCCGTCAGTTTTTTATGTTATGCAGAACTGTGAGGTTGATTCTACTTTTAGTATAGTTCAATTTTTATCCAGTTATGTGGCTACTATGAAAAGTCTCTCTCCCTTAACAGAGAAGCAACTGGTTCACGTCAGACAGATACTGGAAGTTATTCGTTCACAAATTCGTTATGACCCTGCTTATAGGAATAATCTTGATATGCTTGATAAGATTGGGAGAGAAGAGGAAGATAGAATGTTCGAGTTCAGAAAAGACTTGTTTGTACTACTCTCTAGTGTGGGTCGTGCTGCCCCTGAAGTTACTCAAGTGTTTATAAGAAATGCGTTGAATAGTGCTGTTGCCTCTTCATCCGACGTAAATGTCGAGGAAGTGGAAGCCGCCCTTTCTCTTTTGCATGCTCTTCGAGAGTCGCTGAGTGATGAGTCCATTAGAAATGGATCTGGTTTGTTGAGTGAGTTGGTGCCAATGTTAATCTCAACAAGATTTCCATGCCATTCAAGTAGATCAGTTGCGCTTGTGTATCTGGAGACGATTACCAGATACATGAAGTTTGTAATGGAGAATACTCAGTATATTCCCATGGTACTGACTGCATTTTTAGATGACAGAGGAATACACCATCAGAACCTCCATGTCAGCCGCAGAGCGAGTTACCTGTTTATGCGAGTTGTCAAATTGCTCAAAGCAAAGCTTGTGCCTTTCATAGAGAAAATACTACAGGTATGTAGCAAATTGGAAATACCGTATTTTCTGCTTCATGCAATCATGTATGCAGTCTATGCGATTTTTATTTTCTCCTCACGATTTCTTGTTCTCTGACACATCTTTTGCTGATTTAGCAGAGCCTCCAAGATACAGTTTCCCAGATCACAAGTATGGATTTTACATCTAATCAGTGTTCAGGAGCTGAAGATGGTAGCCATATTTTTGAGGTATTCTGCTTTTCTCTTTCTGGTGCACCTGCTCGTACTGATAGGTTGAGAAACATGAATGACCAGTTGAACCACAATAATCTTGCTTTTCATTTTTGCAAATATTATTGTGAGAAGGGGTTGGTTGTTGCTGTTTCAGTATCTTGAATTGTTATTTACAGGCAATAGGTATATTGATCGGGATGGAAGATGTACCAGTTGAAAAGCAATCCGAGTACCTGGCTTCATTGCTTACTCCTCTTTGTCGTCAGGTTGGGACTTCTTTTGTGCTTTACTCTCTGTACTATACCTTACCTTTTTTTTGTGAGCAAACTTTCCTTGCAACAATGTCTAATAACTAAATCTAGGTGGATCCTTTTTGAATTGTTGTGGATTCCAGATTGAGGTGTTGCTCATGAATGCCAAGAATCTGAATCCAGAAGAGTCTCCTGCAAAAGTTGCCAACATTCAGCAAATAATTATGGCAATTAATGCTCTCAGCAAGGTTTGTATCCTTTTATCTTTCCAGTTTAGATTATTTTTATGTTCCTTATCGTAGGAAGGTCGGGAATTGATGAATCCAAGTTGTTGCAAAGGCGGTGTAATTGCTTGTAAGTGGAATTGTGAAAGAATTACCTTGTAGACTTGAGAAGCTTAGGTCTCAGATTATGTGTCTTAGTCCCACTCTCTACACGTGTAGCTTGTCTTATGGCAATTAATGCTCTGAGCAAGGTTTGTATCCTTTTATCTTTCCAGTTTAGATTACTTTTGTTTTGCTTATCATAGGAGGGTCGAGAATTGATGAATTCAAGTGGTTGCAAAGGCAGTTTAATTGCTTGCAAGAGGAATTGTGAAAGAATTCCCTCTTAGACTTAAGAAGCTTACGTCTCAGATTATGTCTAACTTATATACACGTTCAAGTAACAGTTGTAGTTTATGCCATCTTTTGATACCGAATCAGTCCCACTTTCTACACGTGTAGCTTATCTTATGTTTTTTTTTATCGTCCAGGGTTTCAGTGAACGTCTTGTAAATGCTAGTCGACCAGCAATAGGCCTGATGTTTAAGCAAGTTGGTTTCCTGATCTCTATTTACTACTCTTTTAATTTCTTAATGGAGGTTCTTGATATTGTATTTTGGGTAATATAAGGTCTTCTTTTACTTCTTCCTGAACTTGAGTCTGCTGTTTTTGCTCCAGACATTGGATGCCCTTCTCCAAATTCTCATAGCATTTCCGAAAATAGAGCCCCTTAGGAGCAAGGTAAGGCCACATTGTAATATGGAGTCATTGGAGTGCTCTCTTGTGACGTCTTCTTGATGAATACGTGATTCCTCATGTTTGACAGATTACTTCCTTCATTCATCGCATGGTGGACACATTAGGAGCATCTGTATTTCCTTACATTCCGAAGGCACTGGAGCAATTGCTTGCTGAAAGTGAGGTAATTCTGATGTCTTTTCTGAACATGAAGTGGGTAAAAATTCTATCATGAAGCAATTATCTGGCATTTTGTTGAGCCTAGCTGTTAGGTCTAGACTCGTGATGGAATCCTTACCGATTGTTCTAGCCTCGAAATGTACCTGTAGTATTCAGTTTTTCCTTACTGCTTCACAGGGAGTCCATTTTTTAATGCCGACAAAGGAAATGGTTGGATTACTTGTACTGCTCAATCAGCTCATATGCAAATTTAACACCTCGGTTCATGGCATTCTGGAAGAAGTTTTCCCCACCATTGCTGGTAGGATCTTTCCAATAATTCCAAGAAATGGCTTTCCTTCAGGACCTGGTACCAATACTGAGGTATGAAATGTAATTAATATTATTAAATCATTGTGTAGTGGTTGGAAAGTCCCCTGTATCAGCTGATTGTCTTGATAATCCATAAACTAAAGATGCCCTCTTTGTTTCTTTTTTCTTCTTTCTCCTATTGCTAGGAAATGAGGGAATTGCAAGAACTCCAGAAAACTCTTTACACGTTTCTCCATGTGATAACTACCCATGGTCTATCATCAGTTTTCCTCTCTACCAAAAGTAGAGCTTATTTGGAACCAACAATGCAGTTGCTACTTTACACAGCTTGCCATCATAAGGATACGGTTGTAAGAAAGGTGCGTTAACTTATATCAGTTCAGCTAATGTTAGATCTTCTTGAATCATCCGAGCATAATTTTGATTTGGTGATTCTGTTCTTGTTTTGCAAGTCAGGCATGCGTCCAGATATTCATCAGATTAATTAAGGATTGGTCTGTTGGACCTTATGGTGGTGAAGAAAAGGTTTGTCGTCTTCTATTCTGTTATTCATAGGTCGATATTCACTGATGTACGACCTGGATTAATGGGCTAGAGCTTTTTCAGGTACCCGGATTCCAGAGTTTTGTGATCGAAGTCTTCGGAACAAACTGTTGCTTGTACAGTGTACTTGATAAATCTTTCGACTTCCGTGATGCAAACACGGTAAGAACTTTTGGAATTGTTTATACTTGGAATTATTAGTCCCTATTATTTGTTTATATGCAAATAAGTCCTTGTACTGCATCAATTAACCATTTCTAGCTCATAACATCCAAATCCATTATAGTACGGTCAAGCCGTTTTTTATAAGCACGTCTTGAGGTCTCATCATATGTCCCGCATCCTGTGAATTCTTCTTTCGACCCTAAATCTTATCTCATTAATTGTTCTCCGCCCTAGCACATGTACTTTTAACAGATGTGTCGCCATTAAGAGTCATTTAAAATATGCTTGCTAAACCTGGGATGATCTAAACTATATAGACATTCCTACAAAAAAAAATGTTAATCTAGGGACTAAAGAGACGGCATGGTACAAAAATCTGTTTGTTAATATAGCATAGTACATGGACTACAAATAACGTTAACCCTACTCTTCCCTTGCTATGGTTGTTGGAAGAATCTGATGACAGCAATTTCATGTTCTTACCTCTGTTGCAGCTCATTTTGTTTGGCGAAATAGTGGTGGCTCAGAAGGTCATGTATGAAAAGTTTGGTAACGATTTCCTCATTCATTTTGTATCCAAAAGCTTTCAGTCTGCACATTGCCCTCAAGACTTGGCAGAACAATACTGCCAAAAGTTACAGGTAAATATGCCTTCTCTAGTTCTCTTTAGGCGTGGGGTTCAGTTTCTGAAGCACCAACACGAATTTCTTGCCCTAATATGTCATCAATGTGTGTGCAGGGTGCTGATATCAAAGCGTTCAGATCGTTCTACCGGTCGCTGATTGAGAATCTCAGAGGTCAGCAGAATGGAAACCTTGTTTTCAGATAGCAGCAACTAAAGATTGAATGAAAGAGATCATGTTCTTTTTCTCTCTACGGGTCGTCTCAAAGTTCATCAAAAGTTGCAGGCTCCCTTTTGTGTAAATATATCATTTTTGGGAAGGCCCATCTCACGTACAACGAGGTAATGCGAAAACTTCTAAGCAAACATCCTTGTTTCAATGCTCAGAATCTGTGAATGAATTGGCACTGATCTGGGCTTTCTTGATTTGTTGTTTCCTGCAGTTGTATATTTCCGGCACCTGTTTTCTTTCCCCCCCTTTTCTAGCCCGCTATCCATTTTTCTTCACCCTCAGGAATTGGTTTGATGTTGTGAAACATTCATAAATTTTGGCTGAATGTATGTAATCAAACTTGAAAGTTGAAACCCCCCCACTCCTTTTCTGAATGAAAAAGGAAAATAAAAAAAAGAGAAGGGTTTGCAGAAATGGCTAAAGGTTTGTTGACAGGCTCCATTTCTCGTGGCCACCGTCCTCCATGGCGTCAAGTGCATACAAGTCATGAAAAAGGGTCAAACTTTGTCAATTTGGACCGCCATTAATGACAGCTTGATCTATGAACCTGAGATGATCGGCTGGTATCCTAGGGATTTGGTAGTGGATATTGGTGAAGAAATAGCCTATTCTATCTGATCCAATTGTCGCCTTGGATCCACAATCTCTCGAGTCCTAGGCAGCAAGCATCAATTCAGACTTGGCCAAGTCTCAAGTCCAAAACAAATTGCCTTGTGTGATCCAACTGGTACATACTCATAATATCCGAGTTCCAGGACCACCAGTGTATGCAAGTGACAGTGTTCGACTTGCCTTAACTCGTCATCTCTTTGGTTTAACATTCAATTTTTTGTCTTTGATCCAAAAGAAATAGTACGAATTCTTCGGTCAATTACCTTGCTGGTGAATAACGTTTGTGCTCAAGTCCTCGTGCTAATCTTGTAAGACAATAGCTTGATCATATTTATGTGACAACCACAAATTGGTTGGTAGGTTGAATGGGGAAACAAACCAACTTCCATGAAGGTTCTCTATACTTCTTCGTCACAGTCTGGACCACAGTGGACAATATTCCAGCAGACACGTTTTATCCCTAGTCTAACAAACCCTGCTTTTTGTTGAGTCCTTGAAAGGGAAAATACTAAGTATCCATGATTATGAACATCCTGGAAATTCCAAGATGCAGAAAAGGTGTGATCTTTAATCATCAAAATCAAGAGCTAAGACTGTGTGAGGTGTTTACTTACTTTCCATCTCCCTGTATGGACTGCCGACACATATTGGCATAAGGCCCACAAGCCCACAAAACGTAAACCCTTGGTAAAGAAAAGATGGCCTACCTGGAATGGAATTTTCCTTGCAACTTTTTCTCGTGGCCTTCTTCCCCAATGTGGAATCATGGGCCTTCCCCGTTCTCCTGGCTTCCAACTTGACATCAATTGACTTAGTAGACCTAGTTTCTGGGATGGCAATCCAACTCGAACTCACGGGCCACGACGATTCAATCCGGTCAAAACGAGTAAAACAGAGTGTTGACGGGTTTCAAGTCGGGTGCGAGTTTTATCTGCTTTCGAAATTGACGGGTTGGTTCGGGTTTGGATTCTGGTAAAACTCAACATGCTTTTCCCCGACCTGCACCCATGAAGCAAAACGATGTCATTTTATATCTAATCATTAAAATATGAATAATTTATGAATGTAAATGGGGTTTTTACTTCTAAAATCAAATTTGTATTTTATTGGATTTTTTAATGGGTGCACCCGTTAGATTGAGTTTGGGTTTAGAGAGGTTTAGAGATACGTGGTTGGTCGTCAAGGTTTTAGTTTTGTTCATGAGCATGGAGTTCATTCGATATATAATTGCACAATGATTTTTTGATAGGGATATTAGTACTTTTTTTTTGTGATGATTAACGTGAAAATACGGTTGATTAAATGGTTTTTGGCCCCACTCTGTTTTTCTATGTGACAAGACATTTCTTCTAGACACATTTCTTCCTAATACATTGATTACACCGTAAATTCCATAACACATCTGCTGCATAAAACACACATTATATTACTCCAAGACTTCGCCAACAATACTTTGTTCTTGCTTTCTTGGTTCTTTGTTCATGTTCTTCAATGGTCCATTCTTCCTTGGAGTACCACTTACTTTGATGCTTTCAACGGATAACAGTCCATCCAAGACTTTAACACTCTTTTGGCTAACTGATAACATTCATTCTCTTATTTTCTTGATCACCATTTGGAGTTATTAAGGAGAGGAAGTATCTCTCATTTTCTAACATGATTTTACCGTTTTTATCGAAATGTATCGTGTTCGAAATCTTAGGATCCCCAACATTAACAGTTGATTTGAGTCCATGTATAGAATCTTGTTTAAGATACGGGTAAGAAAATAATATAAGACGTAAATTTGAGTTTCTGTCAATAAATCGAGTTATTGACATGAACTAGTTCTCGACATAATGCATATCAATATGAAATCTCTGTACAAACTTCAAACAAAAATGAATACTCGTTTGACAAAACTCTGGGACTTCAAAGTAGTTGGAAGGAGAGAAGAAATTAAGCCTCTAAGAACTAAGAAGTAGAGCCGATCCTCCTCCTATACTAGGCAATTTCTTATCCACCCAACGCCCATTTTGCTTGCAGGCTTAAAACTCTAAAGGATTACGACTTAAAAAGTTAAAAAAGTTGGCATGTAGTAAGTTCCAATTTGTTATTTATTAGTTATAGTGGTAAAAAGATAACATAGGGCATTCCACGTTTTCCATGTATTCCACTTTCATGTACAGTAGAGTTTTGCTTAATTATTAAAGCTAGCGGTAACTATTAGCTTTGGGAAAACGGTCTCTTGTGGACATGGATATAAATTGTTCCATATGATAAACTAAAACCTCATTTGCTTAACTAGCAAGTAGCTAGGCTAGGTTAAAAAAGTCTTTTACTTGGTAGGTTGAGCTTTATTTTTTTTTCTTTTCCAAAAGATATCCCAAGAGGGAAAACAGTAGATACAACATAATAATAAGGGGATCTTTGCAGGTCAAAAGTACAAAGTAGAATTAAGGAAGATCTGCTGGCCGACCAACCAACGATCCAACGATGAGAGGGTTTGTTTCACCATGAGATGGGCAACCCTATTATACTTACGCGGGACAAAGTGGAACGATGGAACCTGAATGGAGGCTCGAAGGACCTGAGCTTCAGATAGAAGGCTGCAAGCAGTTGCGTGATCTGAGTCCTTTCGATTTATCATTTGTATGATCACCTACGCATCACCACAAAAGGAGACATTAGAGATTGAATGTGATAGACACTACCTGAGTGCATTTCTGAGGGTCGTGAGTTCAATGATGAAAGTGTCATGCCGTCATCTAGATAATCATAAAAATTTACAAAAGCAAGGTGGATGTCGTTTGTCCCTATAAAACCAACAAATCACACTCCTCCCCCAAAGGAAGATTTTGTGCACCACAAAGTGAACTAAGATAGAACCATGAGGGATTGGAGGAGGAGTAGGGTGGTGAGCCCCAGGAGGGACCGACTGTGAGGAGCGACGGCTACTTGATGCAGCCAAAGCTGCTTGAGTAGAAGTCCATTCTTCCAATATTTGAGAGTGAAATTGGCGCACCATGGAAGATGGGGGAAATTGGATATAATCATAAGTGGTCGAACACCGGGTCTTTGAAATGCGCCAATACCCAAATACAAGTCGATTGAGAATGTCCTTGGGAATACCTGTATGAAAAAGGAACCACCGCCAGCCCACAAAAACATGCATATGGTAAACCTGTAAGCGTAAATGATTAAGACCAACAAGGTTCCAAAATTTCACAGCCACCCTGCAACGCATAAACACATATAACATTTTCTCGGGACCCTCCGAACAAACAAGACACTTCACACCCTCTAAATCCTCACCATCAATTAGTTCCTTCTGTTTGAGAATGTCTAGTAAATGAGATAATCTTTGATGACACGCCATAGAAAAAACACAGCTTAGGGGGAACATTCAAGGATTATAACAATTTCCAAGCAGGAGCATCAAATATTGGCAGAATGGTGGAAGGATTATGAATAAAGTCAGCCAAGGCTACTCTATAACCCGACTTAACAGAATACTCACATGACTTCTCATAGTGCCACACAATACGATCAGCCACAGGAAAAATGGGAAGAGGGATATATCTGATATTCCTGACCATATCTACATCAAATAAGGAGAGAATAAGAGATACCTTCCAAATTCCAACTCCGTGGTCAATCAAGGAAGTAACATGTGGGCCAGGTAAAGAAGCCCCAGACAAAAGAAACAACCGATACGGAGGGGTGGTCGGTAGTCAAGAGTCCTCAATGGTACGAACAGAAGCACCCGAGCCAATTTTCCAGCGGAGACCGGATTGTAGAAGAGGTCCGCCCACAAGGATGCCCTACCAAGCCATGATGGCCTGGAGCCCTGAGGAGCAAGAAAAAAAAAGTGGGAAAAATACCTTCCTTTGTATTTGATGAAAAGGAGGTTGTCTGGGTTTTGAATAATCCGCCATGCCTGTTTTGCAAGCAGAGCTATATTGTTGCTGTCAAGATCCTTGAAGCTATAGGGTTAAATTATTTAAAAGAGTTATTCAGGCCTGAAATATTTGAAACAAAATAACTCGTTTGACAACCCAGTGCATTGATGAATTATCTTAACATGTGTTATTTTTCAAATAACTAAAAAATGAGTTATTCTAAATGACTCCTACCCCATTCTATTTAAAAGTAACTTATTTAGTTCCTCCATTGTCCCCTTTTATGATACTAAATACTACAAAATAATTTACTAATATGCTTCTTCCAAACAAGACATTTCTATACCCAATTTTATCAAAAAGACACACAAACACCACATTTGAAATTTATTAGTTATTTGTGCGCAAATACCACGACACACCACAATCAATAAACAATAATTATCCAAACGAGCCCTAAGATCCAATGTTTTGTACTTCGATTATGTACCGACTTTCCCTAGTTAATTTCTTGAGTTGTTGGATCATGCTAAGCACGAATCTTACATGGTTTATTTATAGGTTTCATTAAGCGAAGGCCAACTGACTTTGAGTTTTTGAACCAGATCCATTTAATGTACTTTGTGAGTTAATCAACGATTCACGAGTCATCAAAATTCAAACACAAAATATTTCAATCAAAAGCCTCTAATAACATAAAGAAAGCAAGAAAGTGAATGAACGAACAGGTACATGACTCACCAATAAAATTGTATTAACTAGTCTACGAATATGAGAAATTCGTTTCAGCGTTTGAGGAGAACACGAATCACAACGATTTGATAGTATATTATTACATTGTGCGAGCCCTAAATATAAAAGGACACAAGGTCGTATGACTCCCAATCATCATCAGCTGGATAAACCGATTGAAAACAACTTGAATTATTTAAAGGGAAAGAAGCATATTAAGACTTGATGGCGGCAAATTGGCAGCCGCCGGCCGACGATTGGATGCATGGAATCGTTCTGGCGGTTGAGCAGACTGGTTTTACTTGAGACAAATGCCAAGCACTAATTTAACCTACTCCATTACCTGCTCATTCTCCTCTTAATTCTAATTTATTCACCCAAATGGTAAGAATATAAATTTGACTGATT